CCCCAAAACCCCAAAACCCCTATTGACTAATAAAAAGTTCAATTGGATGATGGTAAAATTATTAATACTAATAAATCAACATAATAAAAACAAAGATGACATTAAATTTTTAGAACAAGATAGTATTTCCAGCACCAGAAAGTTCATACACCACAGAATCTTCACTTGGTTAAGTCATCTATATACCCAGGGACATTTTATAAAAATCATAATTTGAAAATAATGATTTACCAATGATAGAGCAAGATGACTCAGTGTTAAAATTAGAAGAGTAAAAACAAGAGATGCTATCATCGTAATCAGTCCTGGTAGGTTCATCATTTAAGCCAAACCATGATGATGGTGATCTTATTAAAACAAGTTCAAATACTAACAATAGCTTTAGTGATGAAGAGTAAAAACTAGGGAGATCTATGAAAAAATCATTTTCAACCAAAGCTTTTTTTTCATCAATATTTTCAAGATCACAGAAGCAGGAAAAAAAAGAGGAGTATATACCGTGTCTCTATATACCTAATGAATTCGGTGCTAAAAAGATGGTCATTTATTTCCATGGCAATGCAGAAGATATTGGTTACGCTTTTGAAATAATGTATTCATTCGGTGCACATACTAAGATGCATGTATTGTGCGTTGAATATCCGGGCTATGGTTTATACTAGACAGCTGTATCAAATGAAAATTAGATTAGAGAGGATTCTCTGATAATATATGATTATTTGGTAAAACATGTCGGAATAAGTCCAATTGACATTATGGCATTTGGAAGGTCTTTGGGTAGCGGACCAGCAACATATTTAGCTTCCTAAAGAGAAATATATGCTCTATATCTCATGTCAGCATACACATCAATAAAAGATGTTTCAAAATCACTTCTAGGAAAGCTATCATTCTTTCTAACTCCGATAGTATATGAGAGGTTTAGGAATATCGATACTATTAAGGACGTAAAATGTCCAGTTTTTTTTCTACATGGTCTCAAGGACACTCTTATACCTTACAATCATGCATAGGAACTAAAAAGAAATTGTCAAACTATAAGCTAGTTATGGTTACCAGATGATATGGATCATAATAATTTTGATTTTCAAGAAGATTTGGTAGTACCTTTCGTACAATTTATGACTGTCATTGATAAAACGATAGAGGATTAATAATCATTAAATTACAATGGTGTTGATCTTAATGGTGAAACTTAAGCCCCCTCCACAAGGAATGATTGGGGTTCCACTAAAACTTATCCTGAAAGAATTCAGATAGATGCGAGCTGCCTTCGATTAGTGGAGGGATCTGCTGACACTTTTGAAATTCTATTTGATGCGAAATTATATCTCCCACCATAGATTCTAATTGATCTTGAGAAAAAGGCAATTTTTGAAAAGCAATAGTAGTTATAGTAATAAATGTAGAAAAAAAAATGAGAAGATTAAAAAGAGGTTTAATCGACAGTTTATCCACAATAAGGTTAATTCTTGTTAATTATTAATAATTTGTTAACTTAATATTTTATTTCAATCAAAATAATTTTTTAAAAAACTATACCTCTGGGGGTTTTGGGGTTTTGGGG